CCCCACCCTCTCAGTGCGTGAATGCAGCGAGAGGCAGAGCCTGTTCACCGGAAATGCACCACCACCCTTTCTACGCGGTGCAGGAGTAATACTCGATGGGGAAGTGTCGAGGGTATGACAAAAACAAAGAAAAAAATAACAAAAATATACAAAGGGGGAGAGGTCGAATAAGCACGTGATAAAATGCAGTTTTTCTATGCATTAATGAGATTCCTTGAGAAATACCTTTAGTATTTTAATTAAGGTCGCAACTGCAGCAGGTTGGACAAATCGTTTCTATGAGAATCGAATGACGACCGAAATACTGAATAAACGAACAGGTTGCGGATTTAGCCTGTGAGGATTCAAAGGCGATCGAATTTCCCTAGAATTATGGATTATGGCACAAAGACTATTTTCAAGTGAGAAGGTGTGAATTCTCTAAATTCTCAGGATCTCATTACCAAAGGACACCGAATGAATGAGTGAATTCTTTTTCTCTATTAAACCAGGTCAATTCTAAAAATTTCTTTGTACCTATGTGCTATGGGGTTAAAAAGATCCAGCGGATTAGACTGATTCCTTTTCAATGAGACGTTCTCTGATTACACAAGTGTGTAATAGCACTACCGTATCCGGCAATGAAAATTTCACGATTTACTTTGATTTTAAATCTTCAAATCCGACAACACGATCCGATCCTGTTTCAAAATCTCGTCGCAGAATTGCTCCTTTGAAATTTCGTATAACTCCCTCACGTAAATCTCGCGAGAATCAGTAAATTTAAAACTGCCTATCTAGAGAATCTCGCAACAGCGACGTGTCCGAGGTGCAGAAACGTTAGATCCCATCTATAACACGAGGGCGCTTCTTATAGTAGCCCCGAGGCCGAACAGCACGCTTCAAACCTTTAACATTTAATCCAACCCGCATAACGGTGAACTCTGTTACAGTTGCATCGTGCCATATACACTAAATGGATTTGCAGGACTTCAGACTGTCCTGAAACATTCATCCTAACCTCAAATCTCCAACTCTATCATGATTATACTCTCGACCAACCATGTTGTTCAGAGAAGTATGAGAAAAAAATAACTAAAATTGACACTGTGAACTGTTCATGGGGAAAAATGAGGGTTACCGGTGTGGGTGAGAGAGTCGTTTAAAATGCAACGCAGACCGAGAGTGCCGAAGGAATAATACATTGAGAATCGGTGTTTTCGAGCGTGCCCTCGACACCAGTAGGAATTACACGTACCGACAGCCATTGCGCCCTTCTGCGTCTCGAGGAGGATGCGCCGGTTCCCTGGAAAGAAGAAAATAAACAGTTCGTTAATATCATCAATCCCACAATTCCTGGTAGGTAAAATCCTCCCACTCTACGAGCTACTCGAATGTAGAAGGACGGGGAATAGACGTACGTATATAATTCATCTGATTTATCATTCGCGTAGGTATATGCATATGTACGTTGTGTATCTATCTGGTAAACAAGAATCGTACTCGGAAGTCCCAATATGGCGGTCTTCCGTTGTACCGTACCGATCCTGTCTTTGGAGTAGTCATGGCGGTTATAACGATACGCGTGTAACACGTTCACCTACCGATACACGTAGATATATATCTGTACCTATCTTTATGATCGGGAGTGATCCTGAGGCTTAGATTAAGGAAAACTGTAACCGTGCACGTTTCATTCATTCATCGCTCGAAATAGGACGAAATATTATATTTAGCAGAGACGCTTTGGCTTTCGGACTCGCAGGGGGTTCTCGCCTGGCAAGTACGTGAAGCTCATTCAGATTTCACGACGATTCTTACTACTATTTTGCGTAACGATGGTCTCATTCATGAGAGAGATTCATCTATTGATTACTGTAACAGATATCTACGCTTTTGGATTTTCGTAGAAATATGATTAGCTTTTAGAATTATCACTATGATTGTGTTCAGAAGACTTGTGTTTTTTAATGCCGACATGTGAATGGGTCTTGAGTGTTGCTGGGACTTCGTAAAATGAATAATAACGGAAGTCTGTTTTATTCGTTTGAAAAGTAGGGAAACAAGCTCGTTTCGCTTTACGAGGGGACGTGAGGAGCCAGGCTTAAAAGAAATGCTAATGATATTCCTGGAGTAACTACAAACGGAATGGTGAGCACGTGCTAGGAGGCTCTAGGAGTTCTACAAGTTCTACAAGCGCTACATTCGACACGAGACGCATCTGGTATTATGTTTTGCTTACATTTGCTGGGATTCTGCTGGGCACACTTTCGTCCTGTACGCACATGGGACATACCAGTAGACAGTACCATCTGGGCAGGATGAAGGATACATACACTGAGGCTACAATTGGAAACTCTGACAAAGACCAAAATGATTTTGGAATAGATGTAGACTATTTGAAAAATTAATACTTAAATGATTGAAAAATATAAATAATGGACATTTATTAAGATACACAATGATGTTTTAAAATATTAAGAATGGAGAAGCACAGTTTAAATCTTCACTTATTCTTATGTCGTACGTGCACGTGTCGGGTTTACGCGAATAGCAAACACGAGTGCATAGGATATTTACGCACGTTTCTTCTGCATTCTCCAAGTGCAGCTGGTCCACCTGCATAAAACGATATACCCCACGTACGTACTTACGTCCTTGGTAACGGAGAACATCAAGAATAGGTTGTATAAATCAAACCGTTTTAATTGGACTGCTGGATAAGATTTCGGAAAGTGTAAAATTGATAGTTACACAAAAGTCCGCGCACTGCCACGCTACTGGTGGCGAGAACCAATCAGAGCGCTGGACGCTGTTACGCGCCGGATTCGAATTTCAATTGAGTTACAGACCGCTGACTTTCGTCCTGTTCGCTCACACGTGCAAATGCACCATTTAAACTTATAGGGATATTAATTTTCCTGTGGTTCTTGCAATCTTCATACTTATTTTCATTTTATTCCATTCCACGCATCTCGCTCCCTTTGGTTATTGTCCTGCGTACACTATCCGTGACTATCATGATTATCTCGACAACGTGCGTATACGCCTTTAGCTATCAGACCTCGCGAATATAATGACACGCGTACCAACTCGTCACGCATTTCTACACGCATCGTTCGCCGCTTACGCAATTCTTCGTGCGTATATATAAGGAGCCGCGTTACTGTCAGCTCGCAGGTATCTGACTTACCGCTCATTAATTAGTCCTCTGTGCATGTGCATATAAACGTAAGCAAGTATTCTGTTGTAAACAGGACTTTTCCTTTCGGGAAAGCCTTAACCATATATGGCTTATAGTCGTTCTATATGTATTTTACTTATTGGCAGGATTCCCTTGTATCTCAAGGATTCTCTGTAGGACATAAGAGAATATCTCGCACACTGAGAAAACCCGAGTGCACGTCTGGTTTCGTTCGGCTGTCAGTTTCGGTCTATTAATATACACGATGGGCTGGAATACCTAATGGAATATTCGTATAGGTTTCTTCACTTCGGTATCCTAAAAATATTTCGAGTACAACGGCCACGCGTACCATTTAATAGACAAGGGAATATTTACTCTGGTATTACGCACATTAGTTCGGAATAAATCTGATTTCCTTAAGGGACTCATACATACATCTTAAAAATTCACTGGTTAGTACAAAATTAGGTTTGGTTTTGGATATTATTTAAAAAAAATTGATTTATCGTATACTCACTTCTTACTGACAGTCCAACCTCACTTTGAAATCTTCAGATTCTTCATTGGTCCAATACAACGTGACAAGACTCACGACAGACCTGTCAAGGTACCCGCTTACAAGAAAACACTTAACACAACACAGGACGTTACGGTACGTCGCGACGCTGTGCGTCGCGGCACGGCACGGCACTGACAGAAGTGTAGAACCCGGGCGCATATCGTGCGACGCTACCATGTGACCGGAGTTCTGCTCTCGTTCTTAAAGACACCCACACATCTGGCGTACGAAAAGAAGACTGTTCAACTTCGTTCAGTATTACAGTAAAGAAAGAAAGAATGGCGTCTCTTTCGGAATTTGATCAAGGCTCTGAATGCTTGCACGTCTAAATTAAGGTTAGAGCAGACTACGTAAAAAATACCAAGATACGGATACAACTGCGTCTCATTTCATTTGTTTTTCAATTATACAAATTTCTTACTTAAGAATCCTAGTCCAGTAAGGATTCTTTTTTGACACAGTGTGTACCTAGTCAGAATGTCTCCTAAGGGAAAAGTCCTTCACGAGTTTTGCTATGGCTGCGGGACACGTGTCGCCCAAATGTCACAGATCGCGACAAATTGTACAGCCAGCGACACTTTGAAGAACTGCGGGCAGATTTTTCATTGGGACGACACGACTTTTTGGGATTATCGTCACCGTTTCTGTCCTCCTAAAGGGGATGTTGGATTATCAGGATTACGTCAGGGTGTGGTAACTCAGACGCAAGAGTGGCGGCATTCTAAAAAGCTCTGCCGCCTCTGCCTATCCCTCTTTCGGAACGGAGAATCTACCAATCACAATTTTTCTTCAATTTCTCACGAGGTAGAGACTCGCTGCTATGAATACGAATGTGAATTATTCGAAAAGATGAGGACACCTGGCCAGAATGATGACGTTCAATTGGACATAACAACGTGAACGTTTGTATGTGCCTACGACTCTCGTAACTTGATACGTAGTGGAATACCAATACAAAAAAGTAGCCATTGCTGTAAATTATTGGATGAATACCTCATTGAAGAATTCAGAGATCAATTTGTACATGCAGAAGTTGAAGAATTTTTAATTATCAAAAATTTCAAATATTTACGTAAGTATTTTTACATTAATTTACTGATCAAATACATGCCAAAATTACAGTATACGTACAATCCTTCAGAAAATTTATGTAGCGTTCCGGAAATTCTTATTGTTATTTTATCTTTCCAACAGTCGGTAACAGTTAGGTACATGCGTATTTCATATCCAGAGAGCCAGTCGGTCAAGCAACTTGAATGCCTGCCAATGGCCATAATGGAACTACCATAAGAGTATAGAATCTAAGAGCGCCTGTAGGATGTGGACCTTACCGACATTAATGTACGTCGTATCTACTATTACATCACCGAAACCGAATAGATGTGATTTTGAGTATGAAATTCGGATACAGTACAGTACGAAAGCGGTCAGTGATACATATAACATCGACAACTCTACTCTATTGCATTCTCTTAGTAGTAATTCAACGACTTTCGATAAGTAAAACCATTTCAAGGTCCGCCGTTGTTACTGGTTAGTGAAAGTTAAAATCCCCATATTCATGGAGACACTGCAATCTCCCGTTACTTGGGCAGTCGAACAGTTCACATATGAACATTTGGCTGCTTTATATTATTCCTCTTTACGGTGATATCACGGTACGGTGTAACTTTGCTCGCTAAATTCAGTTGCTAGTTCAGTTCAATTTACCAATCATTTGTTCCTTGAAAGTTTAAGCAGTTTGTTGCGGTGCATAGTTCACTTCGAGATACGCGAGGATCTGATATCTGGACAAGTGTCAAGTACTCTAACATTTCTAATTGACAATCTTATGTTCGGATGTCATATGGTTCAGTTATCAACAGAGCGAGCAGTGGTTAAACAATCAATTGACTTGTATAATCTCATTCTTACTGTTAGTGTAAGTGTTCATAAAATGAAGTGTTAACTTTGTACGTAATAACTTATTCGGTTATGTTACATACAACGTAAATCCGTGAGCTTGTCTTTAACGTTTATTCAATTCCTTCATACGACTCTCATCGCGAACTGCGCAGCTACGAATTTAACGACTGGGAGCATCGCCGTCGCGCTCGCGCCGCAGATTTCCCGGGAATCGAGACTTTCCGGGCCTGGAGAACCGAGAGTTTCCCTCATTCACGATTTCGCAGTGACGACGTGTGCCACGCTAGGAACGTTCACGGGCAACAGGTGCGCGTACTTACGAAAAGAAGAAAGACAAAAATTCACGTTTTTAGTACCGCGATTCGTTTGACAGTCCATTTTGGATTTTAAAGATAGACAAATATTATTTACGAGAATAAAGTTTAAAATCAATAATACCAAAATGAGCGTCGACGAAATTCTGAGTTACAAGCCCAGCGAGGACGAGGATCTTTATGCTCTTTTGGGATGTGACGAATCAGCAACGGTGAGTTTTATTTTCGCAAAGAATCTCATTTTTTTTATTTCCATATATTTTTTTCCTTTTTTTTTTACAATTTAACTACAGTTCTGCATTATGCGAAGTGCGACGGTCGAATACGGAGAATTCGCGCTCGTTGGCGGAAAGTCAGGTTTCGCGACCGCAGTGGAATACCCATGACGCTATTTAAAATTATCATATTTTTCTTATTGCTATTATTAAAGCGTCACTTGTAGCTGTCATAGAACTAAGTGTAACGTTCAGTGCTTTAAATCGTGTTCGCTATCTAATGCGCACTGACCCCAAATGATAAAATGGTTTATCAATTTTTTGTATAAATTAATTTAAATCACTTGAATCACGTTCCGTGGAAAATCATTAATGTTACAGGTCGAGCAGATTACCGCGGAGTACAAGGCATTGGCTCTCCAGTACCATCCTGACAAGAACGAAGGAAACAAGGAAGCTGAAGCAAAATTTCAGCAATTAAAGGTCTACAACGTATTTCCAAAATTCTTCAAATGAAAATCAAAAATTCTCTGTATCAATCCATAACATAAAAATATCATCTTCTTGCAGAATGCCAAAGAGATTCTGTGTGATCCAGAAAAAAGGAGTAATTATGACAAATGGAGGCACAGTGGAATTTCAATAAGTTACAAACGATGGCTGGGCATGAAGGAGTCCGTTCATCAGGTATACTAAAAATTGCCCAAAAAGACAAATTGCACGTACAAGTAAATAAAAAAAATCTTAAAATCAATCCCTTACAATATTTCAGTCTATGCACTGGAGTTCGCCAAAGACCAAGGATCGCATGTTACCCGACCCAACAGGAGGCTCACCAGGTCACGTAAGAGGCCAGCCAGCCAATGCTCACAGGAGGGCATCAGAAGGTGGTGCAAATATCCACTACGGTGTCCGTCGCGACGTCAACTGGGAGGCGCAACCTGCCAGTGAGGTGATGAATAAATTTCGCAATTACGAAATTTAAGTCGACCGTCAATACTTCCGACCCCGCTGTCAACGTTGCCAATTATCTGTGTCTACCCGAATGCACCTTGACCTGTCGTTCGAGATCGTCCACTCTCCAGCAGGTACCTGTATAAAAGAGAATCTATTATGAGATACAGGACGATGCTTCGATGTTTTGTGGTTGGACGAGGTGTAACGATTACCTCGTCGTGATTAGTAATAGAAACGAGAAACGTTTCGCTATTATTTTTGAAAAGTACTGGTTGCGTTTAGAGTACACACCGAATTGAAGCTACCCGTAGTGTAATCGCCACGTGAATTCAATGACAAGTTGGACACGCAACCTAAGGAGAGAATTAATAGAGAAAATGAGAAAAAATAATAATAGGTACATCCGTCAAAATAAGTGTACCCTAATTACGTGGTATAAGATCTGTAAACAAAAAGTACTCTGCGCATCAAGTACCTGGAACATAATATCTACTCAATGGACTATATAGTCCACGGATCAATGTATTAATCTATCATTCCGTCATATCCCTAATAGCTTATGTACCTTTTGAGAGAGAGTTTCTGAAATGAGAGAGTAATTTCCGGAATGGGCTTTTACCCTTTGTCAGACTCCTACATATACATATTTGTCCTCCACACCTTATTCCTCGTCGACAATCCAGAGCTCATATTTTCCAAGAGGAGGACACGTGTGAGATGATGTTGTCTCGTCACCTCGTATTTATATACATATGATATATAAATTTAAATATATATATATATATATACACACACAGGAAACTCGTACGTAGATAAAGAGACAAATCTGGAGAAATATATACAATACGTCTATAAATATTAAGCAGAAATTACATTTGAAAACTAATCGACGCGTATCCACGTCCGCGTTACAGTTAATATTTTAATACGTACTTACCTCGGTGACTTTGCGAAAATTCGCAACAAAACTTTTTGCCCCGTTTCTCTCATGTATCGTCGTGCGCGATTCTAAAATCCCGAATCCCTTTTGATTCTGGCGGACGCGAATGGATCGTGATGCTCATTTTCTGCTTGGTTTGCCTTTCTGGAAAAAAAAAATATTGCATTGACGTCTTTGTCGTTTAAAAAAAAATAATAATAATAATATGTACAATTGACCGTCCCAAGTGGACAATTGATTTGATAAGTGATATTTACCGTGTTTCACGGTTTTATCGGGGAAAAAAAAAGGAAAAAAGAAAGCGATGTTACTAAAGATGTTCACTTCTGAATCTACGAACTGTGATGTAAGCCTTCCCTTCCATGATGATTTTCCAAAATTAATTGTGAGATTCACGACGTGTAGGAAAAGAGTGAATAAAAAAGAAAGGGTAAATGAAAGAAAAGAGCCTGGATAAGAACGTCCGTTCTCAGCGATATCTTGCACGAGACGTTATGTATCTTTTCCACGGGGAAAAAATATGCTCGACAATGTATAAGAGTAAAAGGATATTTCCGCGTGCACGACCTTTTCGTTCTCCTACGAGTCCTAGGATACTCGCCACGCGTCGGTCGGTCCACACGATAATATGTATTTAAGTGAATAAATGTGTTAATAAAAATGTATTGTCGTTACCCCTAATTATTCTTGTCGAACCTTGGTGTTCAAAAGGTACCGGACACATCCTGTCAACAGCTTATGGCAGGATTTTGATTGTGGATCTTGTGACCCGGAAGTAAAAGGATTATTTTATTAGCCGTTCTGGCACTGTGCGATAGGTCACATATATATTTCTGGCCCGATGATGAACAGAGAGATTTGCATTTCAATTAATCTGCACAGCACAATCTCGTCCACGGGGTACGTTACTAGTCAAACAATGGACCTGTTAATATTCCTTGGATAATAGGTTGGTGTCCGCAATGAACGACCGGCAGTATCCGACTATACAGTGCTTGAGGATTTTCAATTTTCTAATTCCGAATCAGCGCATATTGAATAACGGTATACGTATGTGTATGCGTATTGTGGGTCAGATATACACTATTCACTTTTCGTCCATCTCTGGGAATTGGAACGAATTATTATCTGATGACTGGTGGCGCCACTCCCATACGAATATAGCCGATTGAGTTATCCTTTGTCAGTGACTAAACCAATCGGATTTTTCAAAGCGTCCTTCGATAAACGAGAGCAAAGTAAAGCCACGTGGAACTCTAGTTGAATCGTTTTACTTTCCCTCGATCTAAGTACGTGTACGACTGACGTACTTGTATTTGGGAATATTACGTGAAATTGCAATAAATGGATTAATCGGGGAAACAATGTGGAATTTTATTGATTTATACGACTATTTATACTATGAATAACTGATTGTGACAAAGCACGGACTAATTACAGGTATGTGTGATCATAAGAATTAAATGTACAATATCAATGCGTGCAACAGGTTATGTTAGTACAGTAAAGTTCTTGGTTAAAGTCTGTTAGATAAGCTGATCAGGTCGAGCATTGTGAAGTCGTAAAGGAACTATTACGGTTGACTGTTGTAACGTATTTTCTTAACTCGACACCGATAACGAAAATCCGAGAATTAATCTACGTCACCTTCGGCCGTCCACCCTTCGTTCACGCAACTGCATGCCAGGCGGGTGCCAGTCAATTCTTTTTTCACCCGAAACTGACGAGCCGATATGACCTGGGAGTTGAGGTGGAACAGTCTCAATTCCGCCAAAACGGGAACTCTGACAGAACCTATCGGATGAAACGGTAGGCTTAACGGATCCTGTCGATTTTTGGGGACGCGTAAAATCGAGAAACGCAAGTGTAGGCGCTGATCTCCAGGGCCGCCTAAAATTAGCAAACACACCTGGATACACGAACGGGAGCGAACGGTTACGGAAATGCACGGCCGCTCAAGTAGCTAGGTTGAAGTAGATAAGGTCGGAGGAAGCTTAAGGTAAATAGTGCCGGAAACAGAGTGCAATTGATGGAGAATGTAGCAGAATGAATCATGAGTTACAAAATTGAAATCCCTTCCCCAGTTAATAAATTGGAAGTACTCGCCGAAGCTGGATCAGCTGATCCGTGAAGGTCGAGAACTGTATCCAGGGGGCACTCAAGTGGGCACTGCATTAGCGCAGCACTGCACCTCCGTAACACACGCAGAAAATCTGTAGGATTTTCTAGATATTGCGAGAGCGACGCGAGAACTACACCAGTTAGAAATTTGTATATAGGAAACGGAATTAGAAAAACTATCAACAGATGGCACGGCAGAGCGAGCCAGCTCGAGGCGCCCCGATCGGTGTCCCAAGACAGACTGCTTTGATGATAGTCAAATTCGAAAACTAATTTCGATTGGTCGAGATCCTTATAGCCGATAACTTTAATCCTTTCCCTCGAGTCGCCCCTTTAAAATAAATCGAGAGCGTTCCTTACCGAATCGGTATGTGACTCACGGCTGCTACTCCAGGGCATGGGGCGGTAGCTGGTCACAAAATCCTTAACTCGTGTCACGGAGTTCCTCTGCCTTTAACCGTATCAAAACTCTACAACCTTTTGCCGCTCTTCAGCATTGCACAGGTATCTCACCGGAATCTCTGCCGGGCAACTCGATACATCGAGACCATCTCTCCACGGGAGATTCGAGCACCTGGACTTCAACTGAACAATAACAAATTTTCCGGGAGCACTGTACAAATCGACCCGAGAGCGCAGCTTCTTATAAGGATGACGACTCGAAAGGAACCAGAAAGCGAGAATTTTATTTGAATCGGTAGCTGGAGTCGCCTTGTGGCTGTGAGTCGAAAAATCATGTCACACTGTATTATACCTAAGAACGTAATGAAGAGCCAGGAAAGTGAATTCAAGGCTAATTTTATCTCCTCGTCATTTTCTACTTTACAGAGGCTTCACTCTTCTCACTTTGTCATTAGTAGGAATTTACTGTCTCCTGTCTCTTTGACGGCGACGTAATCAAGTCAGGAGTGGAAATTTAACTTCGTTGTCGGGTGCTATATTTAGCCCGGTTTCTCCGTCAGTATCCTGAGGGAACAAGCGAATTCTGTAAGAAGTATATAAACGTGGGAGTGCGAAAACGTAAGACTACGTGGACTTTTCCCTGGATTGACAGGAACGTGTGAATGGTCAATAACTGAAAGTCCTGCAGTGTGACCAGAGCTCGTCAGAATAGGTACGACTGATATAGCACAGTATCGCTGTGAATCAAAATATGGAAATGTTCAATGTTTCGAAATTCCTATTCTTTCAGGGCAATAAAGGCGCAGCGCTCGTTGTATCCGGTAGGTTAATCCAGCCAGCCGTGGCCGCTCGATATTAGCTGAGCTATGTGGAGGCTCCAGCTGCCGGTCCATTTCTACAAATGCAAATAGACATTAAACTCTGACCTACATACTTGCATCGAGGCTCTGGACTTTTTATTTTTTCTTTTTTTTAATGGAGAAAAAAATCTCAATTCCAGGTACCTTACACTCTAAGCGCTTTCTGACAAATATATTTTATTCGCAGCTAGGGAAAGTTTGTCGGGATAAAATCTAAAAAAACTTTCGATCGAGGTCTTCTTGGGTATTGGTAATTTAGGATCAGACCCTCAGGAACCCCTCTCGACGACCCGTAAAAGGTTTCAGACAAGGTCGGAGGTACGTCGAATTGGCGCACGTCTTCACTGATCGATCAAGCGATGTTGGCTTAAAGGGGAAAAGGGAATAGTTGGCTGTTTAGCGGGTGAAAACTCTCGAATGTAAATGGTCGAATTTGAGGTAGGTATTTATATAGAGATTAAAGTACGTGCACTAGGTGACAATATAGCGCTGGCTACGGAGCGAGCAAACCGAACGTTATAGAAGGTAGTGGCCCCAATTACGTAGGGTTGATGGAGCGAGTCGCCTGGAATGTTTATATTTTGATCAAAGGGTTGGGCGACGAGCTAGGTTGGGCTTGGTTCAAAGCTGTGAGGATCGATCCTGTGGATGAGGTTGCAGGTGTGGGAGTTTTGTAGAACAGTAGATGTAGCAGACGAAGGAGAAATTGCGACCTATCCCTACCTAGGTCTTCGTATACCCGCTGCATCCCTAAGGGACGCCCACGCCTTACCACCTAGTCATCGATAAATTCTCCACGCCCTTACTCCTCGTACCCCGTCAGCTAACCTTATGTGCGCAACTCGCGCAAAGGAAATTTTTGACCTGGAAAATTCACTTCGAATGCGTTTTCATTTTTCTGTGTGCTCGCTGTAGATGTAGATATTTATACGGTTCTAGAATGGTTTTTAACGATTTTATCTTTTTCTTTTGATCAAAGAAATGTATATTCGATTCGTCAAATTTTCTTACGTTCGATAATGATGTAAAGAGATATAATTCTGGAATTCAATTGTTATTTATTCCAATTCTTGTATATCCGGAGCATGTATGTTGTATTAGATCTGCTGTACGAAGGATACAATTTTATAATGTTAACTTGCTCCTGGAGATAATTTAAGGAATTTTTTCATTTTTTGAAAGAAGTTTTCTCGTGTTAATCGCTTTTCTTGATATTTAAAAAAAATAAACGCACGTAGTCTCGCGGATTTCAATTATTATTTGATTTAAAGGTAAAAGCCTTTACTACTTGGAATAATTCCGTTTTTTATTACAGCAGGGGAGTATTGATTATTTACTTCAGCTCCTTCATAAGAAATGCTTGTTCTGCGATATTACAACTTTGAAAATTGTGTAAAAAAGGGAATTTAAAGTGCTAAATCCCTTCGCTGTGCAAGGATTATACTGCGCGTCACGAATTTCTATAAATATTCAAATAAGTTGGAAACCATGATATACATATATGTAGAGTGCTAAACTAAATATAACGTGGACGAGATAGTATTTCTAAAATCGATGAAAACAGTAATCAATAATTGAAAGATTCAAAAATAATGATAGATATTCTCATGAATTGCAAAGAATTCCACGCATTGTAGATGCAAAATGTTATGCAAAATTTTGTTGGCATTTTTAGCAATTACCTGTTGATTGAGTTTTCTAGGATTCTCATAGAATTCCTATAAAATGTCGAGTGCTATTAATTATACATATTCTTTACCATAGGAGCAACTAGACGACGCTGAGGATGAAGAAGAGCATTAGATGGACTTTTGGGAAGGTAATATGAAGGTATGAATATGTACTGATAAGCAGAAGGTATGCTAATATGTACAATTTCAAATAGACCTTGCCGACTGTTGGTTATAGAAGAAGCAGGATGCATAGAAACGTTGCCGATAAGTAAACATATTTTGGTATTCGTAAATTTTTCGAAAATAAAGGTAACAAGAAACGAAGTAGATAAACAATCCATCTCTCCTGTTAACACTGACTTAAACTATGCAGGTAAAACAGTTCAGTCCATTTCCGTAATCTACAGAGTTTTTATCTAGAATTGATAAAAAAAACTGTCAAACTTCTTCAAATATAAAAAAAAAACAATATATTCATTTCAGAACACAGAAAATGAAACTACGCTGCAGCATTTTGGGTGTTCCTATTTTTATAATCATACGAAGTACATAGTTTTTATGTGAAAAACTTAAATAAATGAATAGCAGAATATCCAAGTAATATGGAATACCGAATAGCGAGAAATAGCTGTGTTCTGTTTTGAAACAGGAATATTAATTATTTAGTTTCATGTGGTACACATAGTCTGTGACCTCAAACTCATGCTGGCGCAACTGACTGTACTCGGATAACGTTATCAATTCTTAATGATTACCCATTCCCCGTTTTATACCACTGTATTGAACCATAGGATATGTAACTTTAGCCAAGAATCCAGAATGTTCCGGACTACATAAATGTTTAGGAAGTTGTCCACCTACCTATACAAACAGGAAAGTAAAGGTACAATGTACAAGACATCATCACGAATACATTTGCAAATGCTAAATATTGGATCGAAGAGAGATAAAAAAATGAATTAATGTCAAAACACGTTTATTAACCGACAGTATATACTAGGACGAAGTAACAAGGTGATTACGAGAGTAATTAAAAATTAACATTGCCTATTAAATACTTACAATGATTTCGTGTACGTTATTTACGCGATTAAGTGATTGAACAAGTTTCGATCGCAATTGTCGTCACGACGCCTACGAAACTCTCTAAGAATAAAATACTCGATAACGCAAGTAGCGCTGATAACAATAAGTTGTAACAACGTCCTGGAATATTATAAATATTTATTCCATGATCCACTCGCGTCTCGCTGAATGGTCATCGTATAACCGACTATCAGGGAAATTGGTAGAAAGACTTTATAAATGTAAGAAGATAGAGAGATAAAGAAAATCCTGTGTGAATGTCACTAAGTGAAATTGCTTAATTGAATTATCAGGGACGCGAGTAAATGCCCACTCATGATAATCGTATAATAATTTTGGCATAGCTAACGCGAAAAGTATACAACGATAAAAAGAATCACTGTAGTCGTCATTTTAAAGTATCTCGAACCGTGTCATAATTGAATGCTAGATCATGACAGGTTGACGCAATTTAATGATCCATAATACGTAGAGATAGGATGGTATATTATATGAGCGCATACGTAGTATTTCGTTTAATTCTTAATTCGCGTATTGTCTAAGAGTCTTGTATAAAAAGGGGCTCTTGTTTCTAAACAATTTTACAAAATCATACAGCCCATCGAGTGTGTCGCCAAGCACAACGATGTGGAATGGTCGCGAACATTCGCGAATGGAAGTTGTATTTCGTTTCACTCCCCTCTTCTAGTCACTCTCAAAGATTACACATATCACGTCGGCAAAAAACCATCTAACGTTTATTTCTTCTTCGTTGGCTTCACTTCCATTTATTCTCCATTACTCTTCACTTCTTCCCTTTCTATTTCTCTTTAACACTCTACAAGAGGTTCGACCTTCCTCATAATCACTAGCAATATCAATTCGTCGAGTATTCCCTTGGCCGTTCGACGGTCAGCTCTTGCAATCTGATTGAGCATAACTATGTCCACGCGAACGTGCATGTATTCGTTTGAATCCAAGTCCCAGTATGATGAATTCCCTACGACATTCTCATTAGGGACCGATGGATGTGATAAATTTAATATCGGCCGTCATCGGTATCTGTAGGTTGGTTTTCTAGAGTGCAAGGTCTTAAGAATTCTTGACCCCTCTCGTGCAGCCATTTGTTAGCCACTAAAAAGAAGTTAGCGATTAATGTAATGTGATGACCATTAAAAATGGCAGTTATAAAATTTAGGTCATAACTTACCCCACTTAGAACCCGTGAGTACCGGACATGCTGCATGTCTAGTTTTATAGTCACCCTCTCCGTTTGGCTTGAGATTATACCAGAACGCAGCGCTACCCTTCCTCGGCCATAGGGAAATATTAATTGCTGTAAATACAGTACCGCCGCCCTGTTCCACGTCGCTCATCTATAAAATTCAAAAGGATTATTTAGTAAGCACCCATAACTGTAGAACTGAAGGGTTTCATTTTACGTAGTTGGCAAAAACTCACGTAGTAGAGAACTGTAGCTATGCGATTTCCCGTACCGAGACTCTTGAAAGCATTGGCTTCCTCTCTCTGGGAATTAACAGATGATTAGAACAATAGAAATTCTAGCAAATGTGAATAAGCAGCTTAGTAGGATAATAAGGCGCTTCTTACTCGTGCAAAATCAAAATGAGGTTCGTAGTGACCGCCTATTCCATAATTGACCACTTGTAATTCCTCTGCAGTATCCACTGTCATACTTGTCATGTGCTCAACCCTTCTACTGACAGCTTTCACATACTTGTGCTCGTGCTCTTGGAGCCAGGCACTTTTGCTTATTCTATAGTTTGCTATCTCGAGCTCGCCAGTTTTGTAATTCTGCACTGTGGCACGCTTAAACTGAAACATCATCCAGACAGATTATAAGTGAAGTTTACGAATGAATACGTCTATACAACAATAATAATACTGAAGAAATGTCACTAACCCTTGGCTGAGCTAATCTCTTGATAACTTCAATCTCATCGTCGTATATGACGTCGTGATAAATGACTATTCTAGGATCATGATAAGCTTCCTCTTCCTTAAACGGAGCAATCTTCAGAAACGGTATACCGCGGTCCACGTAGCGACACTTGAGATTTCGCTGAACTTCCGGGGAAAGTGATAGTTCACCCCTACAAAGCATCTCGTATCTCTCCCGCTCCGTCATTTCCACCCAGCTTTTGATCTTCTTCTCGGCAACAGTGAATTGCTGTGGAAAAATAATATTGAATATTTCCACACAAACGTTCCAGGAAATATTCAAATATTTCCTTCATCGTCAGAAATATATCCTCACCTGATCTTTAATGGCAGGAACGTCGTCGCGTCCATCCTCCCCCCGTTTCCTCCTGGTCTGACTAGACTTCTTCTGAATTTCCTCTTGGTAGTAAGCGCGGTTACCCAGTGCACGCTGATGTGTCGGTACCAGCTCCAATAACTCGTTTGTCATACTAAGAGCCCGCGCAACGTTACCTGAAGGAAACGAAATAAGAAACCGGATGATCTTACAGCTCTGGGAGAAGATTTGCTCCAACTTGAAAATACATTTGTAAGTTTGCGGCGTCGGCAGGAGAATCCTCCCCATGCTGCAACGAGCTGCTGCCAGCCGTGCTGCAACGCGTGAAAGATTTAGTCTGTAATCTATAATGCATCCGCGTTGCAGCTACCAGCCAGCAACTTCCAGAGTTTTCATCCACCCTCTCTGCTAACCCAGGATGATCGAGCCACCCCTGGAGGACTCAAGTGCGCATGGAATAAAAAAGTTTGCGACTAGGGGGATGCTCTGAAGATCGACGAGCTATTCGCGAGACATCTTTAGAGCAAGTAAAACTTCCTGGGGTGGGCTCTGCGAATCACCCTGACCACTCCACTGTTCAGAACTGTCGCAACTGTCCCAGAATTTGCATCGGGTGGTGGTTATGCCGCTCGATATTCACTGTTATACCAACCCTGCATGTAAGTCGAGAACGCTAGATACTCCAGGATGTCCGGCTTGGTCGTGGTCGTCCTGTTTTGCTCTTCCTGAAGCCGATCCATGGCTTCCTGCATCCAAAGCACTGTATGATAGTAGTCGCCATTGTTGTAAGACTGTCGACCAAGCTCGAAACAGTCCCCAGCTAAATATAAAAAATAAAAAGTGTTAAAAACTGTTGACACGGCGTTTTCCGCGGACACTGGACAACGTGCAACTGGTCACATCGTCTCCGTAGGTAGACTCGAGAAAATTGCGGTACGGGAGTATCGTCCTTTTTTCAACTTTAAACAACCACGTATCGACTTTTATATAGATATATTTACAGAAATTAAATTGCATATCATATTTCGCAGGCGACACTTATGAAAACTGCACAGCAGTATTTACGAAGTGAATAAAAAGCTGGAGTCAAAAAATTCACCAAGACCAGATATGACGTAGCTAACAAGAGTCGGCGAGTTCGTTAATTAAGGGTAACTATGAAAAGAAAAAACATGAAAGGATTAAAAAAAAAAATAAATGTAACGCGGTAGGAAACATGACAGGGGATGCATGGCAATTTGAAATTTGCAATTAGGGAAGACCTAATTGGGACATAAATATATATCTAAATATATCTCCCGTATTGTATTTAGCGAGCGTCGCGATATGCAATAATTAATTAAAGCCATTTAAAAGCAAGGAACTAAAAGCCGCCATCAGAAATATCTCTTCAGCAAAACTTGGGGGTGGTCGTCAGCTGGAAAAATTCGCACAGCTGAATAAATAATATCCACCTAGAGGCAAACGCGTATTGGATTTGTCGTAAAGTGGCGCGACCTGTCGCACGTAAATATATCCGCCGTCGATAAGGTAGATATCGGTACAATAGTACCAATCTACATTATATTATTATAGCACATCCACATATCCAAATATGTATACAAACCAGAGAGTCCTGTGCTGTATTGAACTCCGTTGAGTACACCCCTGGCCACTTGGGCAGTTTCCAATTTGTAGGTATCCTGAAGCCTCATGAGAGCTACCGCGGCACCATTGAGATCCTCGTCAGTGGGGAACTTCAGGTCGCCTCTCGAGCTGGTAATGTTAGCCACAAAGGATTTTCCTACGTCCTGTGTTATCAACTCTTCGATGCGTTTCCAATCAGTGGTCAAACGTTTCACCAGCAAATAGGCATTTATCGGGTTTGAGAGGTATTGTTGAATATTTCGAGAAGCCTCCTTGTGCTCCGTAGCATAATCCTCCACGTTTCTGTAACAAACATAAACATTCAAATAGGTACATGTACATAAAGTGTATAGAAGCACGCGAGCGTGATTTGATTCTACGATATTAACTCTTGACTGTTACTGAATGTTCTTAGCTTATTAGGTTAGGTGCTACACTGCGGCATAAACTCATTGTATTACAAGTTGTGATGTTGGTACACGTAAAGCGGTAATCGTATACCAGACGAACCGTTGACAGAAGTTAGCTGCCCCATAACGCTCCTCTCTGTTATTCGCAGGCGTGCCGCAAGACCGCGCAGGATGCGTTCCGGAAACTCATTTTGAGACAAAGGAGCAGCACGACGACCCCACGTAATCTTAGCAGGGTAATGGCGCCGGTTCGTTTAATTTCGCTGAGTGTGCTCAAAAGGCAACGTGTCGCCGCGCGACCTATGAACGGTGGGAGGTAAAAAGACGTTCCGTAGAAGAAGGCGAAAGACCGTGTAATTTCATGAGATTTCGCTTTAAAGAGGAAAAAAAAAAGGCGGTAAGAAAGATTGATGAGCAAAAGCGTTCAAATTTCTTTGATTTGTTACTCCACACTTGTTACGAGGTAAGCGCGATAGTCCTTTGCTCTGTTTTGTAGGTTAGAACGCATTTGAAAGTTCTAACGGAAACTTCAAGGAGTTACGGCGGTGATCATATAAGTTTAACAATGGAATTCAATTTTCTCTGCTATCAGTTATGAAGTCCCTGTTGGTTTGTGAAAAAACTAAATTGAAAGACCCACAGGCGAAGTCAGGAGAAAGGTCTTCGATATGAAATTGTCGTTTCCATCGCAATTCTCTTTATTCCCAAGTGAGGGTCTCTAAAATGACGTAATATGTGAAAACAAAGCGATGCTATTTCTCGTGGGAGATTTAACTGTACGTCTCGGTGATTGCAGGATGGTTTTGTATCCTTGAGGTAAACCGGATATGATAAAGAATTTTTTGAAATACATATATAATTTAACGAGGGAGAGCTATCCTTGAAATTATCATTTTCTTCCAAGCAGGATTATTCGACTTCTCGAACATTGCGTCATGACAGAGGGAAACCGTTTCGCCTATTTAATCTTAGAGAAGTGGCTAATCGCATCCAGGGAGAACTAGTGAATAAAATTAACCAACCTCGAATGAAGATCATTGTGCGGATATACAAGAAAGGTACAAGATAAGAGCAATAATGAATTCTATTGTACGTAGCAAAATCGAGTCACTGGCTAAATTGGGATACGATCCAGTAATTCAATTAAGATGAAATGGTCTAGAATAACGTAGAATTGCACTTGTCCCCCTTAACTGTAAAGATTTATCGATTTTACCTGGAAGGTTAATTTTACATATCTCTATCTTTGGAGATCTAAAAACAACATGGTGGCATGCACCAATTTGTGAAGTCTGACTGACTGCTGAATTATTGGAATTTCCTAGATTCTATGTCAATATGTATATATACATTTTTATACTATATATCGTATATTTTATTCTACGAGGTAGAAATGTTTCCCTATTCCAACTGGATCCCCTTCGTCACGTTTCCAATTTCGCGCTACATGCGATTCGTAAGTAGATATAAACTTTGCCGGGTGATACCGTGTTTCTCATTGTTCCCGATAGGAGGCGACAATAGCTACTCCATCGTCGACGCCTTCGGTTCTTATCTCCTGTGTAAATCGCGTGCCTTTTGTTGAGTATCCTAGTATCCCGCGGGGGCAGGGCGGCCGTAGCCCAGTGGATAGGGTAGCGGATTCACGACCGAAAGGTTGGAGGTGTTCGCGCCCAGCTGCCAGCGGCATTCACCAATGGGTTTTCATATGAAAACTTAAGTGAGTATTTATACGGATTTCGCCCAACACCCTGTATTTCGTATATAATATTATATACGAAATACAGGGTGTTGGGCGAAATCCGTATAAATACTCACTTAAGTTTTCATATGAAAACTTAAGTGAGTATTTATACGGATTTCGCCCAACACCCTGTATTTCGTATATAATATTATATATGCATTATTAAAAGTCACGTGGAACATTATTATAAGGATGCCCTAGATCTGAAATTTCGAATGCAAGATTATCAGAATAAAATATCTGTGAAAAACGATTAATCGGAAGAGCTTTATTGTAGTATCCCAAAAAAATGGAACTTTCTTTCCATTCTCTGGAGAGATTGGTTATATGTAGAGATATATCCCAATAACAATTGGTACGATAGGACAGCCTCGTTCATTTGACCTGCCAATTTTATTTATGAGACCCGCGTGGGGTCTATCGACAACCAAGGCATATCCAGAATATCCCTACGTCTTCGCATACAGTATATAAAGGAGGAATGATAGGACCAGATCAGAGACTCTATGGTCATTTGTCAATTTTGTAGGTGAGATGCATTCATATATCATTGGCGTACAATCCCATCATTGATCTGGTTCCAGAAGGATGCAGAGAAAAAAAAGAACAGAGTGTTTTATGGTAATCGTATTCAGACAGACTAATAGAAATTCGTCGGAATCCTCATGGGATGGTTTGATATTAACCAGGAAGCTACGATGTTCTTGACTTCGTCTGATTATTTCTATTCTTCTTTTTTCAAAAAGGTCGTAAGCCTATATGAATAGAAGCTGCATACGATTTAAAAGTCAAGGGTCATTAAGAAAATTCTCATGTATGAAAGAATCGTCGGGGTTATCTAGTTTCTGGGATTTGTTCCTCTCAACGAGTCCCTTCTACGATACGAAAATCGTACAGCATCCACTAGTAAAATAACAATAGGTATTCGTAGAGATTCTTTCAAGTATGCGTATGCAGTGAAAGAGCGAGTTTTGTACTTGCTCTAATTAAAATCCGACGACGTGGCAGGAATGTAGAAAACCAGCTGGGACAGGGTTAACAAGAATTCGTTATTGGAAAAACTGCCGTTATCGTTTTCTCGCCCTGTTTCTTCTTTTATTTTCTTTATCACCCTGTATCCTCACTAGGATATGGCGTGGTCAGTTTTAATCAAGCCTCTCGCACCATACACTCTCAAAATATCCATATGATCTGAAATGAGTATGGGGATTCTTGAATGATATCGTAGAAACTGTGCTGCAAAAAAATACAGAGTTCTGTGAAAATAACATAAATGGACTCGCTGAGTAGCTTTTGCTTCTCTTATATATCAATGTAACACGAAATGAAATCGTTGGATTGTAGGAGAAATAATAATATCCAGAGGGATTTATATGTAATTCTCCACAGTCATTCCTTGCGCTTACTATCGGCCGTCACGAAATTCGTTATAGGCATACAGCACGGTATGCTTGTAGTGAGAGAGTGCGCCACTGTCGCTAGAAGCTGGAGCATCGGTATTGCGCATGATCCGTATGTGGAATCTTACATGGCGCCCTCTCCCGCATAATGTACAGTTGTCGGCCGTGTAGCGTGCGAGTAGTTGTTTTGAAAACAGTGCGTCCGACGATTGAATGTGGAAAAAAAGTTGATATGCAATGAGCTAATGGTTAAATGGAAGAAAGACTGCGAGGAGTGCGTAAAGAGCGTGGGGAATTTGTGTAGATTAGGCTTCTAATGGTGATGGGTGTGGTGGTCTCACAATGACAGAGTCGATGACCAGGAACAATACCTCAGTGAACGTTGAGAGTAACGCACGAGTTGGAATTTTCTTTCCGAATTTTGCAAAAACCGTGTGGGAGAAGTGGGTCAGAGCGAAGGATCCTAGTACCGTGGTAGGGGAGACGCTGACCAATGTTATTATCCGACCAGATACGAAATTGAATCTTCGGATATGTGCTCAACAAGCAGAGCATGTGTGGACTTTTGAGATCCTGACTGTTGGTAAGCCTCTCCAGAATGTAGCTTTAACGCTGGATGGGCACCGCGAAAACTTTGAATTGAAATCTGTATCTACCAACAAGGAACACATAGGTTTCTGCAATAGGCAGGAATGGTACGACCCACCTACATCAGTGGTAACACAAGCTATAAAATCTGCTAAGTATGCTACAAGTCTCAGTAATGCAACTCACTATATTGTAAAAGTCGGTTTCGCTGCTCAGCATTATGGTACTTTTCGACAAGGTATCCTCTTTGGATTTGAAAATAGTCATGTTGTACGTAAGAATATCTGTGTGGATTGTATTCCCACGCATGATATAGCCAGGTTGAATGCGGCCAGTGAGTATGTTCTTGGACAAAATCCAACAAGATGGACCTCAGATAATCATGTGATACATCCCTTTGAATCCCCTTTTGTTCCTGCTAAGGATCCCAGAGAAGAATATCTCGCCAACATCTATCCTTATCCCAACAAGAGTAACTTTTTCTTGACCCATGCAACTCTTACTGAAAATGGTCTCACACCAAATAACTACCGAGGTCGTCTACACGAGTTGGTTTCTGTCGAAGAATTGGCTAGGCACGAACAGGTCACAAGGTACAACGAGGTTGCACAGCTACGTCTTTCCTCATACTATATCATGTCACCGGATACTGTCAGCGCATCCACTGCCAAATATGCTTCACCTGGGGAGCTCTTTGCACAGGTGCGTTTTCCTCGCGCTACAGAATTTATTTTCTTGCTGTACATCCAAAAATTTCATCAAGGGTGACTTTGCCTATAGGCAGGACGTGTATGGGCAAAGTCATGCCATCTGATTTTGTGTTCCTCTAACAAACGGATAATCCGTCGACAGAAGGATAATCTGTCGACTGGATCACGTCCGTAGGAACATTCATTTGATCACAAATCTTTATACAGCTTCCCCTGGGTCGTGATTTGTCAGAAGATACAAAAAGCGGCAGACTACTACTGCGAGGTTGCAACAGCGTCCTCATAAAGCCGCTGAAGAAGGTACGAACACAGCAGCACGATATAGAATTGCCTGAAGTCGCGTTCGAGGCTCACGTTGAAGACAAATGTAACCGAACCATCTACGTGAGATTGTCCAAGCAATGCGTGGAATATCTTCATCTGGAGGTCGACACGAATTTCAATGCCCAAGTTCAATTCGTCTTGAACAGATTGCCATTCTGTGAATGGCACAGAGCGATAGATTGTCTACCGGATACCGGTTTGGTCTTCCCGGATATATCACTAAACGTCCAGGTACCTTGGTCGCCCTCTCAATATTGGAATACCGATCTAGACCAAAAATTAAATCCAAAACAACGCGAAGCCATCATGATAATGGTAGCTCCCCCTGAGATCATAATACCGCCAGTCCTTCTGCTGGGTCCATTTGGTACCGGGAAGACATTTACAATCGCACAGGGTCTGCGGGTGGTTCTACAGGAGAACAGAAACAGCAAGATCTTACTTTGTACCCAGAGTAATAGCGCCGCAGATCTCTACGTCAAAGATTTCTTTGACAGTTGGTACAAATCTACCATGAATCCGAGATTGAAGCCTTTAAGAATTTATTTCAAAGGTCGTGCGCGAAACACGGTACGCCATCAGAAATCCTCATGTAAATCCTGCCTAAACTTCTTTGATTACTCCAACAAAAATTCCTTTATGTGGTTCAGGTTCATCCCATCGTACGAGATTATTGTCTTACGGATCAAAACGCCCGGTTTCGCGATCCAAACAAGGCTGACATACTCGAGCACGGATTGATCATCACTACCTTGGCTACCTCCAGCTGCCTCACATCCCTGACCGTCGAATTTACTCACATCGTCATCGACGAGGCAGCCCAGGCTCTAGAATGCGAGGCTCTCACCGCCCTGGCACTAGCTACTAAAAAAACTCGCCTTGTCCTCGCTGGTGACCAGATGCAATTGACACCCGAAGTCTACAGTGACCTGGCCAATGAGCGGGGTCTGGGTCTAAGCCTCCTGGAGAGAATTCACAACACCTACCCACCGGCGCATCCATGCAAAATACTTCTCTGTCAAAACTATCGTGCCCACAGCAGTATAGTTCGCCTAACCTCAGATCTCTTTTATTCCGGCGCGATAGAGGCCAGCAGTAATCTAGAGGCTCATCCCGTGCTCAACCCTCAAACATTCTATGCGGTACACGGCCAGGAGATACAGGTATCTCAAACCATAATAAAATCATCAATCACTCAACACAAAATATAAATATTCACAGCCTTCGTGATTTTCTATTGAAATAATCTACCCAGGATTGATTATGTGTACACAGGACCTGCAGTCAACTGGATTTTACAACGACGCGGAAACATTCGAGGTGGGCGACCGAGTGGCGGAGCTGAAAAAATTCTGGCCCGTCGAACAATGGGGACCTTACGGAGAAGGTTCAATAGGCGTCCTGGCCCATTACGCGGAACAAGTTCTCAGGATCCGTAACGAGCTGCGTAAAAGAAAACTATCCGACGTTTCCGTGGAGAGGGTCCTGAATGTCCAGGGTAAGCAATTCACAGCGGTTTTCATAAGCACAGTTCGCACGAGGAATTGCTGTAGATTCTCTGCGGATCGTAATATAAGTGACTATGGGTTCCTGACAAATCCACGTCTCTTGAATACCGCCATAACCCGAGCGAAGTGCCTCGTGGCCGTCGTCGGCGATCCCGTGGCTTTGCTGACGACGGGTTCCTGTCAGTTATTGTGGAAGAAATTCTTTGAGACAGCCACTATGCACGGTGTTGATTATCGCACTCTTAAACAGTACCTGAACACTATACCGGAACAACCACCAGTGATACCCCTCAATCCACTCGCTGAGGAGTTCATACCCAGGAATCCGCAGCCTCCATTCAGAATAGAGTATATATCCATGCCGGTTCTCTATCCCGTGATCTATTGCGACCCAAACGACTCCAATATCGTGCAGGGTCTGTATGGTCCTGAGCTGGGCCAGAATCAGGAGGAGAAGCCAAAGAAAACTACAAGACCGAATAAATTTGCACAGAGATAAGAACGAGGTGATACATATATTTTAAGTTTGAAGGTTGCACGAAGTCGTGCCTATCCTCCGAGCATTTAATCTTGCGATTATGAGATTCTCAACTTTATACGTAACTTGGGCGCATTTTTTCTTTGTCGCGAGTAGTAATTTAGCATGCTAATAGTAAGGGAAGAGAGAGAAAATACAATGAAAAACAAAAAAAAAATGCTTAAAACCGAACAAACGTTCAAACGTAGGGGTAGCAATTAGATTGTTCATGTAACTTACGGCAGTAGGTAGGAGGCATCGAGAAAACGAAAACCAACAAAAAAAAAATAGATAAACCAGAGGAAAAACAAAAAAAAAATAAAAACATGGTGCATCGACCGGGAAAAACTTTATTCATATATTTTAACTGTATATTTCGTGTGACCGAGTCGTAATCTCTGGATGTGTGTATGTATGAAATCCTCGTCTCTCTATCAAACAGTCGCGTGAAAGAAAAAAAATGTAAAAGACAGAGCGAGAGAGAGAAAGGTACATGCGGACAATTCAAAAAATTATATCACCCGTCTACCGTCCACGCTTGGGCAAATAAATTTATTGTGAATGACAGAACGAAAGAAAAGCGAAAATTGATTACAAAAAAAAAAGAGAGAAAAGTACAACAAAAAAAAATGATTAAAAAAAAAAGTATATGAAATGGAAATAGGGAAATATAGAAGGGAACATGAGCGACACGAGTATCGTTAATCGCCTAAATGTTAGCCGTTATTTTTCTAATTAAGACCCCTGTACATACCTGTACATACTGTTTGTTTGTAAATACGAATAAGATACAGAAAAACGTAGAACAAAATGATTGTATAAATTTTCATTAGCCCAACACCATTCCGTTTCCTAATTATTATTCATTATTATTATTAAGAAATATATATATAAATTCTCAACGTACCTCCTCAGCGTGGCCAGACGCTTCTCCTGGGCGTGAATGTATCCATGAAGTGTGTCTATGAGTACCGATTCGGTTTCCAAAAGTTCCTCCATGTCAGCAAGCGCCGTATACAGTTCAGCGTCGCCACCCTGAAGAAGGCCCATCAGCAGGATGACCATCGTCGTCGCTATCCCGTTCATCCTGATGCTTGTAACGACGTTCGAGTCGACTAGCCAGATGCTGCTGCAATAGAAAAGAAAACATAAAGCGTCAAGCTGAGGCAATTTCGCGCAAGGACAATCTTGCGCGCTCTTCGTACAAAATAATAGAAAGGATCGCGACGATCTTTTTCACTCGTCTACTCGATACACTGAGTACCTGCTACAGTAAGATACTAGGATAGAATGGTAAGCTCTAGGTAGGTAGGTAGGTAGGTAGGTAGGTAGGTACGTGTCCTCTGAAATAAATGAAATTCTTTTGAAACTTTCCGTACGCTTTTAGATTCCGCAGTGTCCGCGCCACAGAGAACGCTACTCCAAAGCTTATACACACATATAACGGGGAGCCCGAACTTTCCTGCAGCTACCAAAAGAATTTACGGCAAAGTGATATAAAAAATTCCTTCGTTTTTTTTTTAATTCTCGAAAAAGATCTGACGTGTTTTTTTTTTAAATACACTTCTCTTTCACACCAAAGGCTTCCCCACCACTTGAATCTGACTTAATGAGATATTCCCTACGATCAGATCGAGTAGAAGGGATCGAACAAAAAATGTTGGAAAGTTCCAAAAAACAACAGCGAATACTCATTATTCTGATTTCCATTGCCAATCAAACTTTTTAGTAGAGTCATCGAACGCAACGTACCGTAGACGAAGATGATTTATGCCGTAGCTACGAATGTTGTTTAGGTTAGGTTAGGTACTTTGTAGTACAGAGTAAATCGCAGCTGGAAAATGGAAATCGTGATGGGTTGAACGGGAAGTAACGAAAAAAAAAAAAAGAGAAAGAAAAAAGATGATGAAGAAGGAAGGTGAAAAGTGGACGGGGAAAAGGGAGAAGAAAAACAGTGACTTTGCGAAAAGTTGTGAAAGCGGCGTTAATTAAGCGTCACTTTAAAGAATTGAGTTGCAGCCGTTGACGAGGACGCTTCGCGGTTCTCTGAAGCACACCAGAAACGTGGTTTCTATGAGGCCACGAGTAGGGCGACAACAACGGCGTACGATGAGGATTACGACCGCAACTGGAATACGAGCACGAAGTGGATGAGGTTTGCAAGTGCAAAGAGTAAAACGAGTTGATTCTTCGTAACCGTAACAGTTTACCCACTTTCAACCATTTTATTCGTTTTATCGTACCGACGCGCTGCTGTCGCTACGTCTTGCCACCTACACGTGCCTCAACTCTAAAACGATTTATGATACGCGCTTCAAATGACAGTCCTGACATCGAATTCCCTTTTATGAGATTCATCAGTATGCTTGTTACGTAAATAGATTTGTTTCTGGTATAAAAATTATTTTCTAATGAGTTTACACACATAACCTCAAACCGTTCGTGTTCTGTTACACGTTATTCTAAAGATGGTTAAACAGCACTTAGTTGAATATCTCATTGGATTCCAAAGTAAGCATCACCTTAAAGGATTCTTTGCTGTGCTCACTTGATCCTTTCATCTCCCTAGCGGTTTCCGAAACATCGCACTGACTCTAAGAGAGGAAGCAGTATCATTAACGGAAGTACCTATCTTATTAATTCGTTGAAGGAAACTCCCGGGAGATTACGGCGACGATAAATTACGGTATGATAAAAATTATATTCACAGTGGTCCCGCCGAAGTATCTCAATAGGGACTGAAGGATCTCATTTGAATGCCTTGTAATGCCGCTAGCTGAAAGAGTGTATAAATAATCCCATAGATGGCTCCCAAAGCGACATCAGTTTTCCATAGCGTAATCCAATCTGCGACCAAACTCGAAATACACCCCGGAGGCGGTTTCTGGTTATCAAGTACGAAGGGTGACCGAGCGATATTATCGGAAATGTATAGAATCGAAATTGGATAACTACTGTTACCAAGGATGGTAAGGTAAAATGCACGATACAGTAACCCCAGAAAGTTTTCTGTCTTCAATGAATTTCGTATCAGTTCTCGTCCTCGTAAAGGTTATGTTTGCTGTACGAAAATTTGGCATTCTCGTCGCGGCCGTCATTCGAGGTTTACCCGCACGCATCGTCGCTCCTCGTGACGAGAATTTATTCGGTATTACGCGCACGTAGGCGTCACGAGACACATAGAGAGACAGAGAGCGGAGGGTGCGGAGTCTTCTAGCTACCTGAGGCTGTAAGACGTGAAATCAAGTGAACTCCCGAAATTCCAGCCTCGGTCTTGAAATTTCAAAGGACGAAAGAATTTTTTTTAGATATGGAACGTGTTCCGTGGAAAAACGTCAAATTCAAGATTTTTCGAAAAACTCGACTCTCGTGTACTATGTCGCTTGTACGGATGTACGAATATGTATTACCTTCTCTCTTTTGCACGTGACACCCGTCGAGTGGATATCAGTGAAAAATTGGTAAAAAAAAATTAAAATGACGGAAACGAGAGAACTTTCAGAACGTCATTGAAAAATCTATGCCAATTGTCAGGTACGTTGGTGAGAAAATTGGGGCGACGTGGGGGATTAGTAGATGGAGTGAGAGGAACTTGAACTAGACAATAACATTTCTGTAGGGTAACTGGACAGTCGATTTAGCGGTCATAGAGGGTTCGCTATTGGTTTCGTGTCAGCGACAGGCGACCGAAGAGACACGCGCAAATAGAAACGAGGCCCTTTTGAACTTCTGGCAGAGGCGCGGCCAAACGATAAGCGTTGACCAGAGAAATGCTTCAACGGCGTCCATATTGATCCGTACTTTCGCACTGTGCAAGTGCGTGAGTCCTCATTCAGCGACGATAAAAGGCACCAATGACGAAGGAAAAGGTCGATGAATGAGTTGCGGTTGAATCACGAAGTGCCATCGTGACGGGTTATGCAGAGGAGGATACGATAACCACGATATCTAAATGACATAAGAGAGTCGATAATAAACGGACAGAAGCGTTCTAGAGGATATTTAGAGCCAAGTGGAGACACAAGCCCAGCGTAAGTATGATTAAGCGACCTTATGCTCGTCCGCAGTGCAGTGGTGGTTTCTGCACATGCAGAAGCTTAAGGGTAGTAGGTAACCAACCAACCGACCTATCCTAGCCAGCCCAGCTATCTAGATAGGTACCGCCAGGATTGTGCCAGAATGACAAGGGGTAAGGACCACCGAGAGGACGGAGGATGGATAGAGGTCCCAACCTGAGTCTTGGTTTGCAGGAAGCAGAGGTACCACGGCATTTGTATGCACCCCGACTTGCGCTACGTGCGCGTAATTCTAGGTGTACGCCGACCTGGAAGGATGAACGTTCTACCCTATTATCGGATCAGAATGACTCGACGGAGCTGCGCTTCTTTCCTGGAGTATCAAGCGAGCCGGAAGTAAGGTGCTGCGACGTCGTCCCGGCGGTCTCTGGTAGAAAACACTAGATTTTGGTAGACCTCCAAGGACTCGCAAGATGGCAATTACGATTTGCCGGGGAATAACTGCGACGAGGGCGGTTGGACCAGGATGGATGGAGAGAAAATAACCAGTTATACGGATGACAGTTGGGTGCTGAGGTTGTATCTGGCGTGTGGCGTGAGACACGTGTCCCGTCTTCTGGAGTACTTGATCTACATATGAAAGATGGGATTTTTTCTTGTTTACGGACCCTGAAGACAGTTTTAGCCTGAGACTTGAACTCTAGGCAGTTCAGGACGTAAAAGGAGGCTGAAGTTTGCCGAGTGAATTCCGAATTGAGTGCTTGTCGCCGAGTCGTGCACGCATCGCTTCCGGAATGCATTAGTGTCGCTTCGAGCGTCAAGATAGAGACGCTACCCTGGGATTGCCAAAGCGTCTGGACGTTTCCGTCTCTGTTTCGCTCTCTGGTTTCCTCGTCCTGTCCCGCCTTCCTTACATCATTTCATTTATTTATCCACTTTCTGCTTCTCTCAAGGTGGATCTCTCCGGCAGGATATAGAGTCCCAGGTAACACGGAGTCAAGACGTCGGCGCCGGGGAGACGCCTTTCTACGGAAGATCGAGATGCGCCGAAGAGTCTTCGCAATCCTGTACCTTTAATTTGAAAGAAAAGAACCAAGTGAAAGCACGCCGCTCTAACCGGAAGCACTTGAGCGCCTAAGCTCGTCCCCGGGTTAAACGTAAGTAAGGTGAAGGGAGCAGGGAACACGGAATCAGATAAGAGTACACAGAACCTGGAAAAGGCTGGTAACGATGAAAAGAGCAAAGTTCCGTCATTCTCCTTTTTCTCGACTTTTTCGACAAAACGAACAATCGGAAGGTGAACCCCACCGTCCTATATTCCCGGATATCGTAAGGAGTCGACGTGAAACAGCCATAAAGGCGAATTAGCGCCGGACGACTCCCGGACTCGTTAAAACGTCCGCATTTCTTATCTGCGATCTGAATTTTTCCATATATACATAGGAAGTGCCCGGCGGCACGGAGTTGTCCTCGTTTCTTGCTAATTTCGCAAACTGCGCCTCAACAATTTTATACCCAAGAGCCGCAAGGGTACGCACGTGCATGTATGTACGGAGGATTTCAATTCTCCGATGCCTATGGGACAAAAGCCCTCTACCGTCTTCGATAGTGCACACGATAAGGCAACACCGCTTTCGAAGTCGTCCTCATGCCTCGCCGTCCTACAGCAGGTTAATATACAGAGTTTTCAAGCCGACGATATATTTCCACTTAATTCACTCGGTTAATTTTCTACGATTAAACTATCCACCCCGTTCCTGAATCTTAAACTCACAAGTAAGACGCGATTGTCTAGCCAGAGAAAGTTCGGCTGGTATTAATTAACATAATTACACGGAGTTGCCGATGTATACGCGAGTGGGTCGTAGTAACGGGCGGAACGTAGATTGTCGGATTAGATGCAAAAGAGAACGTGCAAGCTCGCGGGGTTTTGCCTTGAGAATCACGAGATGAGAGATGCGAGTGACGTCGCGTAGAAGAGATAGAAAATTGAGAAAACGAAGGTTAGAATCCTGAGGTAGAAATCAAAGGAGGGAATTCATTTGAAGATAGAGAATTTCTTTCGGGCGCATTTTATCAAAATTCCGACTGAGTTTTCTGTGTATTTTTTTTT